GGTTAAGAGCATAGGTTTTAATAAAACCTTTTCAACAAAACAAAGACAATCATACTGACTGAAAGGTTTTTTAAGTGTGTTTTAAATAAAGCAATTACTTATTATGTGATAGCTATTATTATTATTATTACTATATATGAAAAATAAGTATCTTGCTCATATACTTATATGAATATACTAAAGGGTTGCTGTCATATCCTGCAATGTTAAATGGTATTACACTTTATCAATGGTTTATATTGTGCTTTATTTTTATACCAACATGCTACTGCTTACGTTTTTTTCCTTTACTTTTGATAAATTAACCATTTTTCAATATAGTTTTATTCACTGGCCATAGAAACAACACAACTACCATTGAAAGCCATTTATGTATGTATGTATGTATAAAGAAAACACAAGCAGAGAAGGTACAGAAGAAGAGACAGAATCTTAAGCAGGCTCCACACTCAGCACTGAGCCTGACCCAGGGCTCAACATGGGGCTGGACCTCACCATCCTAAGATCATGACCCTGAGATCATGACCTGAGCCCAAATCAAGAGTCAGATGCTTAACTGAATGGCCACTTAAGTGCCCTGCATTGAAAGCCATTTTATTTTTAAGTTTATTCATTTTGAAAGAGAGAGAGTAAGGTAAAGGCAGAAAGAGAAGGAGAGACAGAATCCCAAGCTGGCTCTGTGCTGCCAGTGCAGAGCCAGACATGGGGCTCAAACTCACAGACTGTGAGATCCTGACCTAGCCGAAATCAAGAGTTGGATGCTTAACTGACTGAACCACACAGGTGTCCCTGAAAGCCATTTAAAATGCTATGTGCAGGGGTGCCTGGGTAGCTCAGTCGGTTCTGCATCCGACTTCAGCTCAGGTCATATCTTGCAGCTCACAAGTTCCAGCCCTGCCTCCGGCTCTGTGCTGACAGCTCAGAGCCTGGAGCCTGCTTATGATTCTGTGTCTCCCTCTCTCTCTGCCCCTCCTCTGCTTGCACTCTATCTTTCTCTCTCTCTCTCTCTCTCAAAAATAAATAAACATTAAAAAAAACCTTTAAAAATATATAGCTCATCCATTCAGTCATTTGATAAGTATTTATTTAGTATTCACTATATGCCAAGCACTGTGTTAGGGACAGGATTTCTTTCTATGAAAGAAACGCATAACTATGAAAGGGAAGAAAAGAATAATATAAAGGGAAGCCAAATCTCAAGGGACGATTTTACATTTTTCATTGGAGATTCAGAGACATAGTAAAAGATTAGGACGAAGGAATTGAGCGTAGGATTAGGGTCGTAGAGAAGCAGAGTGGCCAGTGGAGCAAAGCCCAATGTGGGAGAAGTGAGAAACAGCAACACATGGGTTTTCTTTTTAAGCAATTCCTAATCTCATAAGGTAGATAACATATATAAAACTTTTAAAAATATTTTAACAAAATCTAGGATCTATAGAGTTCACAGTTAGGATGAATAACAAAAATGAATTTTAGATGACTTCACATCATCTTCTAGCACAGTAAAAACACTAGCCAGAATTCCAGAAGAAAGTGGTAACACTGCCTGATTTCAATCCACTGGGAATAAGAAAATCCTCCAGGTGATACAAGGAAACTTCTCACGGCTTAGACTGAGCATCAGACTAAGAACTCTGCATCTCCAAGCCTTATGACTCCTCAGGTCAAAGTGTTAAGTCTTTGTGAAGGTCTAAAATGCAACCAGGGTAAAAATCCTAGGTTAAGACATTTAGACAAGTACAGGTTATTTAATCACTTTTAAAGTTAAATTTAATTCACATAAACATCAGGGAAAGGGTGAAATGAGAAGTACTGATAAGAAGACAACTAGAGTTTTTTAAATAAATTAGCTGTGATCTTTAAAGATCAAGATACGGTGCAAGTAAGAAAGAAAAATAATAATAACATTGATAAGACAGCTGCTTTGGAACACAAAACAAAACAAAAAAGAAATGAATCTCTGAAAGACCTGAGAAATCAATGTCTGCACTGAAAGCTGTTAAGGATAGACTAAGCCCACTGCTGTTCAGATCTAACGTCCCTTTGATTTTAAATTGAAACCTGTGCCGTTCTAGTATCCTAAAACTTTTAGGATATTCAAGGAACTTGTCAAGAACATTAACTTGGAGACAGAAACCCAAACCTTTAGTTGCTAAATGCTTGGTGAAATTTAGTATGCAAAATATTTTTCACTGTGATTGGGAGTTTACTCTTCAGGCAGTGGGGGAAATTCTTGAATGTCCAGAAAAGGAAAGTGATATGATCAAAGCACCTTTACAGGAAGGTTAAATATAGCATTGATATATGGAATGAATGAAGGGAAGAAGTGGAAAGACTGGGCCATAAAAAGTCATTAAAATCTAGTGACAATAAGTTAGGAAATAAAGATCTGCAGTGATGGATGTACTTGGGCAAACAGAGGATATTGATCTCAGGACATACTTGGATTTGAAAATTGGTGACAAAGGAGACAAGAGTGAAAAGAAATGGTATGATTTTAATATAGCTTTAACAACTTGGAATGTTTTGTTTGGGGGGGATAAGGTTAGATAATAGATTTTGGTTACATTTTATATAAGTGTGTCAAGAAGATATCCAGATGGAAATAATCACAGCTCACTAGGCTGGGATTCTAAGGATGAACTAGAGATTCTTGATTTGGGACTCATCTAAATGGTTTTTAGTTAGAGGGTCCCCCAGTGATACGTAGCAATGTCTGAAGACATTTTTGGTTATCACAACTGGGGGATGTTGCTGTTAGAATCTGGTGGGTAGAGGTCAGTGATGCTGTTAAAATATCTGCAATGCACAGAACAGCCTTCCTCCTACAACAAAGGATTATGTGGCCCAAATGTCAATAGTGCCAAGGTTAAGAACTCTGCTCATAGTATATTAGGGATATCCTGTCCAGTCAGTGCATACAGCATATTTATGCTATAAATTTATGCTATAAATTTAATTTAAAGAAAATAAAAATAGAACCAAAGATGTATCAGATCTTAGGCTACTTCAGTCATTGTCCTCACATTACATGGTTTATCTTTTAAATGCTATAAGACATATATCACCTTTATCCTCCTTCACCAGGTTAGGACACAGATCCACTGCAAAGTTAGGATGCCTGCCAAAAGCCAGAAGGCTGGCAAATTTAGAGGCACAGACTGCAGTCAAAAAGTCCATTTTCAGAACAATGATTCTAACCACTAAGCTGGAGTATACAGTGATTATAGGTACGAATCCTCAACACCGTGGCCTATGAGAGAGAATTACAGAGCAACACATTACTCTCCCTTCATCCTTCTTACCAAACCGAACCACACCAAATCAAAGTAAAACACTCCCTCAGATATTAATAGCAAGGCCTTTCTGCGTCACTGAAGATTCCATTAGCCCATTGAAACATTTCAGAGAATTTGTCCTGGAGGAGGTTTTCAGTGGAGGAAGGAAACCTTGAGCTCTATCTAAAGCAGCAATTTTGACAATCTGAGCATTCTGGCATATGGCATATCCAGATGTATTATATCTAACTTGTGACTAATAATAAAGAAAAAAATTTTCCGAATATAATTTTCACCCTGTACATTAGAACTGAGTAAAAGTTAGCACTCTAATAATATATATCATATTTTCTTACTTTCCACTATGCTTTTTTGAGTGCCAAAGAAAGATATACAATTAAAGCTAATGACATTGGGGCATCAGATATTTACATATAAATATCGTTGTGATTCAAAACACCAAAATGTATTTGTTGAAAATTGTCAATTTACTATTTAGAATATAGTCAACCAAATAAGCATTTAATTTCTCTGATTTGACTTTTAAATCATCCCCTTTAAATATAAATTATACAAATATTTATCAAACTAGGTATTCGGAGTTTTAGTATGATTTATTCTCCATTTGGTCAAGATGACAAAGGTGAAACACATTTCTTAGAAGTGTGGTGGTTTCCAAATTTTTGAAACAACGGACTTATTCCTCAAATGACTATTAAGGAATCAAAATATCCATAATAAGGAAAGGTGGCAGAGAAGGAGGAGAGAAGTTCTGCAGCTAGAATGGGGAAGCCGGGAAGGGAGGAAGTTAGGAAGCCATTTAGGACAAACTGGGAACAGGGGTCCAAAGATCTAGCCATTTGACAACACTAATCTACCCATCAGGCAGTACTTTAGGCAACTCTGGAGGCTCCATAGAACACAGTTTGAGGGGTGCCTGAGGGGCTCAGTCAGTTGAGTGGGCAACTCTTTTGATTTTGGCTTAGGTCATGATCTCACAGTTGGTGAGTTCAAGCCCGGCACTGGGCTCTGTGCTGAGGGTGCAGATTCTGTCTTCCTCTCTCTCTGTCTCTCCCCAGCTCATTCTCTATCTCTCTCTCAAAATAAAAAAAAAAAAGTACTAATAATAAAAAAATAAAGAATACAGTTTGGAAGGGGTTATCCAAATACTTTAGGGTAATTTAGATAATAAAATTACCATAACTATCTTAAAATTTTGTAAGTATATTCAAGTTGCAGGTCTGATATATTAATTGAATTCTGCTTTAAAGTGTGATATTACCTAATATGCATATAACGTGTCACTAAATGCTACATTTTCCTTCATGTGTTAAACTTGCATTTTTAAATTTTCAAATGGTGGACAACATCCTAAGCATTCTTAGCTCTGTCTGTGGCTTATATTTATCTCTGGACCACTTCTGTCAAAACTGAAAATTTATTTTTTACCATAAAAAGCTAAAGTAAATTATATTTAATAAGCTTTTAAATACAGCTCTCTGACACAACACTTAATTTAAGATGGATGATTTTACTCTTTTACACTGTGCTTTGGGAATATTTTTGAGCAATGATATATTTCTTTTGATTGTTCTCTTATTTTCTTGTAAACAGTACTGTAATAAATTTTGATCTTGCCTTTGGTCTCGATATTTAGTAGCTTTGTATTTGTTCTCTTTGATAGCAACACGCATTAATATTTATAACCATTTTCCTTTGCAGCATCTCCCAGATGGCTCTGCGCCCAGTGCACATGTTGAATTTTATCTTTTACCATATCCCAGTGAAGTTCGTAGGAGGAAAACAAAACCTGTTCCAAAATGTACCGACCCCACTTATAATGAAATTGTAAGTATGATTCATCTCTGGTCCGGTTGCTTTGTATTTTCCTTACCATTTTCCAGCTTAACAACCAAATATGGAAGATGTGCAGCAATTGGCAGCATTTTTCCCTAAAGGGAAGACAGTTCACAAAACAGCCACTGTGTGCTGATCCCTGCTCTCGATGCTATGGGAACTGGAAAATACAGATTCTGCTTTCAAAGCATTTATGAACCAACTTTCAAATTGTGGCGAGCCTCCAGCACGAGCTCAGAGTAGCATTTGTTTTGCCTAACATTATCCCTGACTTCATCGTATTTTCTCTAGCCTTATTTTCCCTCACCTGGTTTTCTTTCTCTAATAACTTTATTATAGTCTATCCTGTGTATATCAATACACTTCATAAAATCACCTTTGAAAAACTGGAAAACAATAAACAAGTACCAACCACCAAGTAAATTAATTTATATTATACAGAGCTCTCTAATCCATGTGTGTTGCACAATTTGGATATCCAAACCCTACTTCTTTCTGAGGCAAACCCTACACTTATTCTCTTGATTCCACCCCTTTTCCTCTCCTCTGTACTTGCTCGGGTGTTAATTTGTTTGCCTTTCTTAAGGCTATGTCATCCACTGGCTAGGCCAGAAATCTTAAAAAAACAAAACAAACTCCTGACCTCAGTCTTTCTAAAGCACCCACATTTTCTTTCCCTCTGCATCACCTCCAAACTTTCGCAAAAGTAACTCACATTTCCTGCTCTCACTTCGTCACTTCCTTTTCATTCCTTAATCCTTTGCAGTGTGGATTTTGAACTTAATGGATGCTGCTTTATTAAGAGTGACATCAGTAGACCTCTAACCACTCAATCTAATGAACCCTGGGGCTCTACTCTCCTGAGCAGTTATACAGCCACACTGCCAACTGTGCCCTCTTTTTGACACCTCCCTTTTACTTGAGTCTTACCTCTTCTGAACTCCCTTCCATCTTCTCTAACCACTCATTTAATGTCATTCATTGCCATTCTTCCTCTGAAAAACATTCTTGTTTGCTGGAGTTCCATGATCTACCCTCATTTCCTCTTGATATATATGATCTCAAAATTATCTTATATACCTAAAAATTTTCATTTAACACCTCTGTGTAAGTTGCATCTGAATTTATTCCTCAAGCCCTAGCTTGTCTTAAGCTTTTGACCAATACTTCTGCCTGATTCCTGAAGAGCTCCGTTTGAATGTCTCCTAGGCACTTTAAAAAAACTTTTTTTAATGTTTATTTGAGAGAGAGAGAGAGAGAGAGAAAGCGTGGGGGGGGCGGGGTAGGCAGAGAGAGAGGAAGACAGAATCTGAACCAAGCTCCAGGCTCTGAGCAGTAAACACAGAGCCAGATGCGGGGCTCAAACTCACAAATTGTGAGATCATGAACTGAGCCGAAGTCGGACACTTAACCGACTGAGCCACCCAGGAGCCCCTCCTAGGCACTTTTAGCCAGAGTTCCTTCCTGTGTTTCCCATTTTAAAAGATACCTTCTAATGCCACGGCCCTTTCTCTCACTCACTTTTTCAACTAATCTCCAAGTTTTGTCAGTTTAACAGTGTTTTATAGGTACAGCCACCTGCCTCTTAAATCCATCATCTTCTGTCTGCCCCATTGCTGCTTTTTTGTTGAGGTGCCTGTGACTTTGGCTATTATAGAATAGCCTCCTATCTGCCCCTTGTGCTTTTTAATTAAATCATTCGCATTTCTACCTAAGGTGTCTTTCAAAAACCAGTCATATTTATTTTTCTACTATTTAAATTTCTTTCACAAGTTCCTCACTGCCTCATGGATAATGTATGCAATCCTAAATGTGGCATGATAGCCCTTAAAACTCACTCAGTAACTTTCCTGAGTTGTCCCTTGGAACAATATCATCCTCACATACTTTTTAGAAAATTGTTTGGGCACCTGGGTGGCTCAATTGGTTGGCCGTCCAAATCTTGGCTTCAGCTCAGGTCATGATCTCGCAGTTTGTGGGTTTGAGCCCCACATCGGGCTCCACACTGACAGTACAGAGCCTGTTTGGGATTCTCTCTGTCTCTCTCTCTCTCTCTCTCTGCCCCTCCCCTGTGCTCTCTCTCTCTCTCAATAAATAAACTTAAAACAATTGTTTTGAGATAATTGTAAATTCACATACAGCTGGAAGAAACAATACAGAGAGAATTCAAATCACCTTTAGCTACTTTCTCCCAATGGTGACATTTTGCATGACTAGAGTACAATATCCCAACCAGGAAATGGACATTGGTTACAGTTCACTGACCTTATTGAGATTTTGCCAGTTGTACGTGTTCTTATGCATTTTGTATTGAGTTCTATGCTTTTTTATTTTAATTCCAATTAGTTCTATGCATTTTTATCGCATGTATAGATTTGTGTCACTATCACCAACATCAAGGTCCAGAAGAGTTTCATCACAAGGACCCCTGGCGCTACCCTATTAAGGTCACAGACATGTCCCTCACTCTAATGCCCACCCCCCCATCACTGTCTACTACTAATCTGCTCTCCATCTTTATAATTTTTTATTTCAAATGTTCTATAAATGGAATCTTGCAGTTTGTAACACTTTAAGACTAGCATTTTTCACTCACCATAATGCCCTAGCAATCCATCCAGGTAGCTGCATGTATCAAAAGTTTTATCTTTTCACTGCTCAGTAGTAGTCATGGTATGAAAATATGACTTTTTCATTAACTGTTCACCCATAAAAGACATCTGGGTTATTTCTGGCTTGGGCATTGTCAGCAAAGCCGTTGTGAACATTGACTTATGGGTTTTTGTGCAAACATAAGTTGTAATTGCTCTAAGATAAAAGCTCAAGATATAATTACTGGAGTATATGGTAATAGCATATTTAGTTTTACCAAAAAAAAAAAAAAAAAAAAAAACTTGCCATACTCTTTCTGTACCATTTTATACTCCCACAAATAATGCATCCAGTTTTCTCTGCATCTATTCCAGCATTTGTTAGTATCACTAATTTTTTTTAATTTTAGTTCTTTTATAGGTATAGAGTGTGCCTCATTGTGGTTTTAATTTGCATTTACCTATCACTAATGATTCTGAACTTCTTGTCATGTGCTTATTTACCATCCCCTTAGGTGGTGTTTCTGCATGTCATTGCTTATTTGCTGAGGTTTGCATTTTTGCTGCTAAGTTTTGAGAGTTCTTTATATGTTATGGATAGTAGTCCTTTGTCAGATAAGTGGCTTGCAAATATTTCCTACCTGTCTTCCATAACTATTTTCCATCCTCTTCTCAGGGTCTTTCAAATTAAAAGATTTTAATTTTGATTTTGTACAAGTTATCATTTCTTCCTATTTTGGCTGCGTATGTGGTGGCAAGTCTAAGAATTCTTCACCTAGCACTAAGTCCTAAATATTTTCTCTTGTAGTTTTCCTAAATGTTTTCTAGTTTTATATTTTATATTTAAGCCCATTATTGTGAGTTAATTTTTGAATAAAGTATGAAGTTTAGGTTGGAGTTCATTTTCTTTTTTTTTTCTTTTTATTTTAACTTATGAATGCCAATTACTCAAGTATCATTTATTGAAAAAGCAGTTCATCAAATGTCATTTGTAACTTTGTCAAAAATACATCAGGGGGCTCCTGGATGGGTCAGTTGGTTAAGCATCTGACTTCAGCTTAGGTCATGATCTTACAGTTCATGGGTTTGAGTTCCATGCTCAGCTAGTTAAGCATCCAACTTCAGCTGAGGTCATGATCTTATGGTTTGTGGGTTCAAGCCCTGAGTCTGGCTTCTCACTGACAGTGCAGCACCTGCTTGGGATCTCCCCCACCCCCTCTCTCTGCCCTCCCTGACTTGAACTTTCTCTCTCTCTCTCTCAAAATAAATAAGTAAACTTAAAAAAATAAGTCAGGAATATATATGTGCTCATGACCTTTTATTTCTTCATACCTAATCATATTATCAAGTCACATCGACAGCATGTCATTCCCTGAAGAGTCCCTGTGACCCCTGTGATGGAGCTCAGTTCCTCCCCACTTTCTGCTCTTCTGCCAGCTTTGAAGCTCATCTCACATGTGGATTCTGAGAACTGCTCTCTCCTAGACTTTTACACTACACTTGCCATCTTTTCCTTAGTTCTACATGCTTTTTTCTCTTCTAGTATATTGTAAATTTCTTGAAGGCAAAGAAAATACCTTATCTTCTTAGTATCTTTAAAATTCAGTTATTTCTAAAAAGATTTGTAGAATTTAATATTTGGGGTTGTTTTATAAGTGATGTTTTATATGCATGTGTAAAAATGCATATATATTTATTTAGTAAGGAAAGATCTTTTGACATTTTATTATTTATCATGATATCAGCAGCTAGAGATATACTCTTCCAATAGTAGATCATTAGTTTCCATATGTTTTCAGTACAAGACCCCCTACATCGATATCAAGAAATTTCTCTAGACTTAATGCCATACTTCAGCATTTGTAATCTAAGGAGAGACCTTGAGGTCCTTATGGACAGAAAGCCACTGACAATTCAGAAGTTTAAATAAACTTGTGTTTTATTTATTTCAAGCAATATGTATTATTTTTAAAAAGTTAGTAAATACATATGCGTGGAGATTAGATCATAATGCTTATTATTTCCATAAATTTTCTGATGGCTTTCAATAATTCTGGGTCTTCCCTTTCGTGGTCCATCGGTTAGAAATCACTTCAATGCTTTTTTCATCATCCAGTACTTATAGCTTGGACACACTGTTTATGAATTTTGAACACTTTTAAAATTGTTCGGACACTTTTAAAATTATTTCAGAAACAATAGTCCATAGTCCAGGCCTAGTACACTCCAATTTCTACATGACTCAAGTAACCAGAAATGTGAACTAATCTGTGTATATGTGACTATTTTAATAGTAATGATCATCATATTAACAAGTTTGGTGTGGAAGCTGGTTGAATTTAGAAAGCAATGAGAATAAAAAGAAGACAATATTTTAATTTTTCTCCTATTTTGTTCTGTGTCTATAGTAATACAACAAGAATCTTTATTTATAAGAAATGCAAAAAAAATTACAGCGGTTTTAACTCTGGTTTTACTTTCTCCTGCCATCTGCTGTGATGTAGGCCTCATCTCTGTGCCAACCCCTCAATTATTTCTGTGCACTCTCAGCAACAGTTTATATATGTTTTCTAGGAAGCCCAGTAAGTTATCGCATGGCATCCATCTTGTTTTTAACTTGTCCCCGCTTTGCTTCCCAAATACTGCTACATCAACCACTCAGTATGGCTGGGATTTTTCCAACTGCCTAAGCCAGGCAATGTTCTGGGAAGTGAGAGAGAATGACCTCACTCCCCTTTTTATATAAATCTCTTAAACGAATACAAAGCGCATATTACATTGCATCACCAATGTCTTACAAAGGTTTTCATGAAAATAATTCTTCCCATTTTGATTCATACTTCTTTCTTTCACCCTAATACCCAGACTGAGAAAGGCTGGGTCAGGACATTGCCAAGGACCCCTTTTATATCCACCCTTTAGATACTAAACGTTTTTTGATACTGGGCCAAGCTTGTCTATTTGACACTACCCAGAGTGATTCCCAGCAGACTTCGCCAGTACTCTCCCTGAAAACCCTATCATGTGCAGACCCCTGGGGTAGACGTGACTCGGCTGGAGGTGGGTGGGGCTGGTGGTAGCAATGCTCACAAAACTGCCCTACAGCTTTTAAGTCACAGAGCTGGGATTCTGGCTCCAATGCCTTGCTGTTTTTCACTCTGTTACTTTTGGCATATGGTTAAAAGCCATCATTTTTTGCAATGATTCATTAGAAAAACTTTATATTTTATAGCAGAATTACATTGTTATAGTCAATGCGTTTTGTACATTGTATTCCTTTCTTAGGTACTATTCTATTCTAACGTATAGAGGGGAAGTTAGGAAGGACAGAACACAAACGTTCTACATGTTTTACAGATCTTAAAATATCTTGCAGAATGTGAACGATTATCTAACATAGCAGTAAGTGTACGGTACACTCAGTAAGCTTTGGTTATCTGTATCATCCTCTCATTTGATATTCATAACATGATGAAAACTGTTTGTAAATGAAGACATTGAGGCCCTGATGTCAAACATTTTGACCAGGGTCCAGCTACTAGTTTTCATGTCCAGAACTGCCAGATTCTTAAACCCATACCGGCCCCACTAAGTTATGCCATTGGTCCCTTCCTCTCCTCACCCAAAGAGCTCTCCTGCTCTCACTTATTTTGAGCTTTCCTTTTCCTTATCCTGCCTCCTTGCTTCCCTTCCCACGAGCACTAGACACATTTTGGTTTCCATGTTCTTATTCTTGCACTGAAGTCACTCTAAATACACTAAATACACTTTGGAATCATTTATTATGCCCTCAGGGCAAATAACACACGGTGAGTGCTTGTATACAAGTTAACAGATATTAATGACCCTAAACAAGGTTTTTTCTGTTTGATGCAACAATTTCAAGCCTGCAAATTCAGAATTTGTCAGAAGGCAATGAAGACCTGGCTCATGTCTATAAGTAAGAATATTATAAAGTAAAATGGAAAGAGTTATGCATTTTGGTTCTGTTTATGTAAAGACAGAATATACATATTAAATCATTTGGTGAAAATGTCTCAAAGAATATAATCATCTGCATACTTCTCTAGCATTACCCACTAATTAGTCATTGCACAATAAGAATAGAGTGTTTATTTTTTTCTTTCTTTATTTTTTAAGTTTTTATTTAAATTCCAGTTAGTTAACATACAGAGTAATATTAGTTTCTGGTGTGCAATATTCAACACTTCTATACATCACCCAGTGCTCATCACAACAAATGAGAGTGCTTATTTTTTTTAACAATGTTGTGGATATAGTAAAGCAATTATAGATCTATATCATCTATGATGTGCAATGATTGCATGTTCATAAAACTTGAGTTACTTTTAAGAAAATAACTTTTGCCTAATGAAGCATGGAAGGGGAAGGGACTCCATAAGGTAATGTAACCTCTGGAGTTCAAATGTTTATATTTTAACCACAAAGGCAATTAATTCTTAAAGTCATTTCTCGAGAATTTCAGCTTGCCAAATACCAGGGAGGCTCAATTCTGTCTGGAACTGTTTTCTCCAGTCAACTAATGCAAAATACCAAGAAACAGCTGTTCCTTTTTGTGCATTTGATGGATCTTTTTCAGCTATAATTTATTAGCGTTCAATATGTACCAGGCTTTTTTGTAAGGCTTACATTCATTATCTCATTTATTCTCCCAACAGGGCTAACAGGCAAATATTATTATCACCATTATGCAAATGAAAAACCATATAGGTGATAATAAATTCATATAAATTATTATGTGTCATAGAAATTTATATCTTTAGAGCTTATTTATATGATTCAGAGTTCTTAAGACAGACTTTTGCAAAGCCCTAATGGTTAGGGTTATTCCATTTTTCTACTTCACATACAATCACACTTTGAGGGCCTCTTCATCTATTTTTTTCTGTAAAATAAATGAGTTCATCTGCTTAAAGTATTGTGGGGAGGAAAATGGAAGACAGTTTAGACAGTTCAGAATAGCCACTGTAGAGAAAAAGAAAAGGAACTTACTCTGAAGTCCTGGAAAGAGAAGAGTTCAGGAGGAGATGTGGCTCACAGTCTATGCTGGGCATCCCACTGCTGGTAAAGAAGACTAATTAATGTAATAGCATTTTGAGATTTTTAAGGTAGCCCTTAACTCCTTTACTCTCCCTGAGGGACTCAATAAATGAAACTGAATAATTTGAAGCAGCAGTCCTAAGACACTGAAAAGATAATATTCTGTTTGAAATGAGAGTAGGATTCTAGAAGAGGAGGTAGCCAGGAGCTGTCACACAAAGCAGGGAGGATTGGATTAACCTATTATATTGCATCTCATATCCCTTGATTGAACTGTTATTTATTTTATAAGGAAATCGTTGCTCAGAGCAGCTAAAAGATGGATCTCGAATTGAATTTCATCAATAATTTTGTGGGTTCATAAATGGTAGACAAATGCAATGCAGTGGACCAGAAACCATATCCATACACACTGAGGAGGCCTCCCAACTGACTTAAAGGGTTTCCCCCTCAAGTTGTTTCCTCTGCTTCTTTTTTGCACATGTAGAGAACACTTATTTCTATCTTGTAGCTTGGCTATAAAAAGCAAGCAAGTTTGTAGTAGCATATGAAACTCCTTTTCTAAATGTGTTCTAAGGAGTTTCCTTGGCAACCATGTTAGTTTTATACACATCTCTCCCCTCCTTTCATGATGGGTAACTAATTTCTTGATAGTACTACACTTCTGAAGTTTCATTCCTACTTTAGGCACCCAGTGGTAAAGCCCATGATTTGCTTCCTGGATATTATAAAACACAGTTGAACAGATCCCTTTTTAGAAACTGGTTATATGACTAGCAAATGAAAAAGAGCAAGACACAAAACTGTACATACAGCATAATTACAGCTCAGATTCTTAAAAAGTAATTATATATAGAAAACAAAATGAACATCAAAATGTTAACTGTAATTATCTCCCAATGGTGGAAATACAGATTTTTCTTTCTTTTTTGTTTCATCCATAGTTTATTTAATAAGCATGTGTTTTCATAATTAAAAATTAAACACTTTTAAATAAATTAACATAAGCATAGAATGAATTCTCCCCATGTAGAAGGAAATATTGTTGTACTGCACTAAATTAACACAAGGAAATCATGGAGATTGGCCTGCTCTCCTCATTAGTCTTCAACAAAGAAAGATAATGTTCAAGGTCCCATGTTGCACTATAAATTCAAGGACAGTTAAAAGGTGATGTATTTAAATTTCTTCCTAGAGAATAATTTACAGTCATATTAAATTTGGGATGGACAATTATTAATGGAATCAGAATAAATTCTAAGCTTCTTAGAGAAATATTCTGTCATTAAACTCCATTATGTTAAGAGAACCTTTAGCTTTCTAGAATTACAGTTAGAAATGAAAGATTCTACCTTAACCTATTTATTCCAAGCTAAATGATATTAAGAGCTAAATATTTTTATTAAAAGCAATATTTTTAAAAAGTGCATTTAAGCGTATCTGATTTATATTTTCATTATTCTCTTCCTTTTCAGGTGGTGTATGATGAAGTCACAGAGCTCCAAGGACATGTTTTAATGCTTATTGTGAAAAGCAAAACCGTATTTGTGGGAGCAATTAACATCCAACTTTATAGTGTCCCACTCAATGAAGAAAAATGGTATCCTCTAGGAAACTGTATAATTTGACCATTTCTATCAACGAATGCATTATTCATTAACCACTTATATCTTTTTCCACTTCTGGGCCTGTTTATCACTTAGAGCAGGACATTTTTGTTGTCTAAGGTAGCATAGTGTACCAAGGTCACAAGAAAAAGTCATCAGAATTAGTCTGTTATAGTTATATATCTTCTACTTGTGTTTCATTGTTTTCTTAGCATCTTTTCTCCTTAATGAAGTGCCAATTTACTGTAAAAAAAAGAACATTTAATTTTTTTTTTT